TCCTTGAAATAAAGGTATTTTCAGTGTTATCTGCATTTGGTTCCTGCTTGCTTCGCTCACCCGTAACAGTGTGGGTGTTAGACAGTCAGTTTGAGCTCAAGATCTCCGCTATTCTCCATATCAGTGGCATCCGGAAGCGTTTCTCTATTAGCGTATGAGCTAAGCGACACAGATGACAAGCTGATAATGATCTCATGAATCTTTCCCTTTTCTCCTGGAAGTGGAAGCTACTGTAGCATGAACACACTTAGTTTCCTAAGGGTTTGTGGACTCCATTTGACTTCTGCTAGGAAAATATGTTTATGGATCGTTTTTTTTCGAACTTTTGTTTGTCTACCCGTCAACGGGATTACTACTAAGATATCCGGTAGAATAGAATAGAATAGAATAGAATTGTTTAATGTCATTATACATGTACAATGAGATAATAATAAATGCTTCTCCCTTTCAAGGGTGCCATCAAAACAAAAAAACATCACAACATAAGACAACAAATACACGCAGCGAACATACTTAGGAATAAAAGGAATAAGGAATAAAGTGCAGTAATTATGTCCAGGAGTATAACAATAAAATCTGTAATGTAATAAATAATAATAATAGTAGTGTGTATTTATAATAATAATAATAGTAATGATATATATGTACAGAGTCACATTGATTCACATGACTTCAGGTGTTAAGAGCAATGATGGCTCTTGGGTCTTAGAGTCCGTTTGTTTTGGATGTGATACACCTGTAGCGCCTGCCGGAGACACTGAATCTGTGAAGATATTGAATCTGCGTCTAATAATGATGTATATTAGAAGTTACCTGCGAGGTGCAGCAGCGGGTCGACCTCCATGATGAAGTCGTCCTTCAGGCAGAGGAAGCCCACGATGGAGAAGAGGTAGACGAGGATGAGGGCGAGCAGCGCCGTCAGCAGGATGGAGCGCCCGTTACGAGTCACGCTCTTTATCACGTTGAACAGAGTCTCCTCCCGGTAGATCAGGTCAAACAGCTGCACACGAGAAAACCATTCAGAGAGTCTGTTTATTTAGCAGTGCTTCATTACAGTGTATTCTAACTTAGATTAGTGTTCTCTAAATATACTTTTTCTATATTTAATATCATTATTTCTTTACATGCTGCTGTAACGAAACAATGCTGGATCAATAGAATACCTCTAATCCATTGTTTTGACTACTTATATACTGTGGACAATTCTAAAATACATATTCTATGAGATAATATGATATATTTTATGACTCAATGCATTGTTTGAATGCAAGCACTCCATATTATAGAAGATGTACAAACGTTTGCACACAGGTACAAATATTTTACTCTCTGTAAACAAAAATGCATGACTTCACTGTTATAGAAAGTAAATAATTAATAATTAATTAATAAATTCAGATTTTTTTGGGGGTATAAGTTATTAAATGTTTTGTTTACCAGGATGCTGTAGAAGAGCTCGTGGACGAACAGCCCCAGGGTGGAGGTGAGGACGTAGGCCAGGTGGTAAATGAACTCCACGTCCATCACCATGGCTTTGTATCCCATAATAAACGTCCCGTTGTTTCCCACAAAACTCACCACAAACACCACCTTATTGATCAGCTGGAGGGGAACAGACACACAGGGCGGTTTAACAACACAATCAGAAAGATAATAAAAATATTTTAAAAAATAAATAAATAAATTCATTAAAATGCTACGGTCCATGTTTTGGCATTTTTGAGGGTTTAAAAATATGAATCTTGGACATTTTAATATAATTGAAAGCCTTTTTTAATTAATTAAAGATTGTAAATAATAATTAAAAAAACAGGAAATGTGACGGGAGTGGGGGAGAAATAATTGACCTTTAAATAAATACACTCATATTTACTTTAACACATTTAATTGTATTTACTAATTTCTATTAAATGCATTTGATTTGAATTCATGTTGATGCTAAATGTATTAATTAGTTATTCCAAATTCAAGGGTTGAATTCACTAAACTGATAAAAGAAGTTCAAAATGGACTCTTTAATATAATGTCTCCAGCAAAAAAACTATGAGGGACAATAACATATAATTAAAAAGAGTATGAGTTAAACACCTGAACTTTTGAAAGAACATCCATAACATTCATCTGATGCAACTCGTATATATCAATATTCCAATTACTTGCATACAGACTATTCTGCACTATTTCTATTCTATTCTATTTTATTTACTTGCACTACCCAAGATGTTCATTGTCATAACTACACTGTAGCTATGCACACATGAGAATAAAAGCCTTAAATCCTTGAAGTGTCTGCCCAGGTGGATTATGGGTAATGTAGTGCTGCTCACGTTGAGAGAGCCCAGCAGTATGAGGGTGTTTCCGATGCCCACGTGGTAGATGGACCTGAGGATCAGAGCGATGGTGAGGGGCTGCAGGCCGTAACGCTGGAAGAACAAGCACAGCACGGAGAGCCCGGTGAGGATCCAGAACAGCATCAGCAGCAGGTTGTCGTCGATCGCCCCCACTGAGAGAGGAGAGGGAGGGAGGGGAGGAAGAGAGGGAGGGGGGAGAAGACGATTACTAAGAGACACCTTACATACGAGATGTTTCAGTCGTATATCTGGGATTACCGGTGTCCTTCAGAAGTGCTTTTAATGATTTACAAGAAATAACCTTGCCCCAACATATTTAAGTGACTGTCTCTCATGTTATCAACCAGCAAGGACACTTCGATCCTCCAATGTTTCACTTTTAGAAGTACCTAGAGGGCATTACAAGAAAACTGGAGAGGCTGCTTTTATATCGCCCCAAACTGTGGATCCCATTTGATCTTAGAACGGCCACCTCAATTGGAATTTTTAAAAGTAAAAGAAAGACCAAACTTTTTTTTGTACATATTTGAAATGTAATATTTTTTATTGTCATTATTTGTATCATACTCTGTAAAGCACTTTGGGCTCAAACATGAAAGGTGCTTTATAAATAAAGTTTATTATTATTATATCTTATAGGTCCCATGTCATGCTTTTCCGGTTATTACCCGTCCCCTTGTGTGTTATGAAGGTTTTTCTGCATGTAAACGGTCTGCAGAGTCACAAACCC